TTAAAATGAAATCTATATTTTCTATTTAACCTTCTAACCTTCTAAAACCTACTTATACTTGTTTAATATAAAATACTCTAACCCTAACCCTAACCACTAACTCTAAAAAATACAGTTATACTTCTTTATAATTACCTTCTATATAATTATATAATATAAAAACCTTTTATAATTACACCTATATTTAAGCCCAATTACTATCTAATATATAGCAAAAGACTATTATATAAGCACATCTCTTTATAAGAATATTTTTTTAAAAAAGTTCCTATGGTCCCAAAAGTGTGATTATAAAGAGTATGACTATACACTCTAAAAAATTTTATTTTTTGAGATTTTATACTATAATTTTATTTTAATCTGGATTTCATTATAATCTGCTATATATATTAGTGACAATTATAAGATATAACAATAAGGACAAAGCATCATTCTTCTAAAATGAGTGTCCTAATCTAATTTCGATCAATTATCTCATGACACAAGCCAAATCTAGAAAAAGAAAAGACTGAATTACAGAATTATGTATGCAGTATTTATATAAAGCATTGCCTTTCTCAAAATTAACCTTTTGCAATTTATCAAAAATTAACAATAACAATTAAAACAATTAAAGACCTTTTAAAGTCCTATAAAGCATTAGTAAAAGACTCATTAGTATAACAGAATATTTATAATTTTATATATTTTTAGCTTTGAAGAAGTAATTAACTTTTAAAAGAAATAAAGTAATACAAATTAATGCTATTTTCAAGAACAACTATAATGGAAATATTATCATCTTTAATATCATGATTTAGTTAGCATATTACAGATGATTTATTAGCTAGAATAATGCGATTCTGATATTTGTAAAATTATTATCTGTATGATGATTATATAACTTTTCTTGATTGTGTGCATAAAATATCTGACTAGTATGTATATTAAATATATTATATTACTTTCGTCAAAAGCTTTGGTTAATATATTAATATAAAAAAAAAAAAAATAGAAATTTGCTTTGCTGGTATTATATTATCCACTCTTGTCAAGAGCTTTGTATTAATATAACTATATACCAAAAAGTGCTTTAATAATTTCTTCTGAGATTCATAAAATTATGTTAATATTTATAGTAATTATAAGACAATATAAACTAATATTATTTTTGTATACTCTTAGGATGTAAAGTTCATTAATATATCAAAGGCATTTTATTCATACATCGAAACTCTAAAAACTTCTGCTAAATATTGAAATATATTCAAGAATATGCAAGAGAGAAAAATATTGAGTTTCTATATCAGAAAATAGAGATTGAAAAAGATACAGATAAGGATAATGAAAATGATTATTATTATTATAATAATGATGATAATAATATCGAAGAACAAGATGCTTGTAGTGGTAGTGTTGAGAGATGATAATTATCTAAGCAGTGATAATATATAATCTGAAGATTTATTAATATAAATATACTATGCTTAAGTTAATCCTAATATTACAAATAGTTATTAATGCGATATTTCTGGCAACTGCTAACCTATAACTAACACACATCAACTTTGTTAGTTTGCTACATCCTTTTCTAAAATGTCAACCATGTCAAGATTGATTTGTGATAATATTAAAAATGCAAATCTTGTTTCTGAGGATTTGCTATCAAATAGTATTGTTTATAGAGATTTTTTAAAAAGATATCACAAACCAATCTTTAACATCATCGAGAATTATAATTGTATTAATGAATTATATTCATATGATTCTGATATATTTCAAGTTGAATTAAGTATTTATAAAAAGGAATTTATTAGTTCACGTATCAAACATGGATATGCAAGCACACAAAATCTTCAGAATAATAATAAGAAATTTTACAATGCACTAAGTTCTTTTTTAACTCAATTAGAAATTGTTAGTGTTGTTAGTAAAAATATATATATATATATATATATATATATATATATATTTTATTAAATGGGGTGTGG